AATATAATAGCAACAGAAATGAAGATCTATCTCAAAGAAGAGACAGAAGGTAAAACAGAATTTGAAAAAGACTAAAAGCAAGAGAGAGAGAAAAAGAAATGAAAAATAAGGAAAGAAAGTTAAGGGACAAGTTCAGTGTTTAGCATCTCATTGACAATGTTCCAGAAAGAGAAAACAGATACACAATTCAAAAATGCTCAGATTCAAGCATGACACAAACCCAAACCAGCACTTGGGAGGTAGAGGCAGCCGCATCAGGAGTTCAAGATTACTCTCCACTACATTTTGAGCTTGAGTCTAGCCAGGGAGACATTAGACCCTGTCTCAGAAAAAAAAAAAAAACAGTGACTCCAAAACAGAATGTTTCCAAAGCAGTTAAGAGAACTGGCTGCTTTTCCAGAGGACATGGGTTAAATCCCCAGCACTCACATGACTGCTTTCAACCATCTGGAACTTCAGTTCCAGAGGATCTTATGCCCTCTTCTGGTCCCCATCAGGTACTGCATGCCTGTGTTGCACGGACCTACCTGCAGGCAAAACACACATACACACACAATAAAAAAATTTTAAAGTAACCAGAATGCTTCTCAAAATAGATTGGTGGCCTGAGATTAAGGGTCCAGAGAACAGTCAGTATGATACACTTCCATCTAAGCACAAGCACGAAGTTGCCAAGTACTAGAGGAGAAAACAGCCCTGCACACTGGCCAAGAGGAAATCAGATTGTGTTTGAATGATGGAGGACCAGTTTGACATGTGTCATCAGCAGAAACATACTTCTGAAAGAAAAGTACCTACCTCGTTTAGATCCCTACCAAATCCAAAGATGAGTGATGACAAACTAAAGACACCTCTAACATCTACCTTCCATGCATCCTTCCCAAGAAAGAACCGAAGAAATCATTAAGACTGGAGGAACTCTATACACCGGATTTTCCTGACCCAGAACAAGCAGGAAGATTCTGACAGTAGATTTAAATAAACAGGAAGTGTGTGTGTGTGTGTGTGTGTGTGTGTGTGTGTGTGTGTGTGTGTAGGCCTAGTAGGCCTATGCATTCCATGGTGACTACTTTGAGATCAGAGGACAACTTTCAGGATTTGTTCTAACTCTTGAACATGGAGTCCAGGAATCAAACTCAGGGCCTGTGTGACAAGCCCTTGCCCAATGAGCCATCATCTCACTGGTGCAGAGGCAGTGTTTAACAAAGTTTAGGGCTGAAGAGATGGCACGGTTAAGAATGCTTGGTGCTCTTCCAGAAGGCTTCTGAAGGACCCATGTTCAGTCCCTACACCCACATTAGGCTGTTCTCAACTGCTTACCTCTTTTCTGCCCTCTGTGGGCAACCAGACACTCACTCACACACACACACACACACACACACACACACACACACAAATAAAAATAAAAAAACAATAGTCAAAAATTTACACATGAAGAATGGCACAGTATAGTGTGGAGTGTTTATGTGGTTGGTTATAACAACAGAAAACTGAACACTAGTTAAAATAGCCACAAGACTATTCTAGAGGGGTGTGTTTGTCCGTGTGCAAATGCATGGGAAGAGACAGAATTGTAGCTAGAGGCATGGAGAGAATTACATTTTTGCTTTTCATGGTGGGAAGTAAGTTAATTCTGCAAACTGCAAACTTGGAAACCAAGAACACGAGTTACTAAAAATTTGGAGACATATGGCAAAATAAAGATTAATCAAAGTTAAAATGTGGATGGGCATGGTTGCACATGCTTATAATTGAAGGAGGCAGAGGTAGGAGTTGTCATAAATTTGAGGCCAGCCTGGGCTACACACCCAGACTCAGTCTCAAAACACAAATGAACAAAAACCAAAACATTTTTATGGATGTGGTGAGGTACATGTATAATCTAAACACTAAGGAGGCAAGGCGCTAAGGAACACATCAAGTTCAAGGCTAGCCTAGACTACATGATATCTTGTCTCAAAATGCCAAAAAATTTGACAAAATAATGGCTTCCGGAGGAACAAAAAAATAGGGATTAGGACATGGGTAGAGTAGGATGGCCTGCTATGTTTCTGCTGGCTCTCAGAATGACTTGAGACTTGAAACCAGAGAACCATGACTTTGATGAAAACAAAAGCCAAATCTAATTATTTTTTTTCAAAGCTTGTGAGGTGTGGGGGCTGTGGGTGGGCCAGTGAGATGGCTCAGTGGGTAAAGAAGATTGACACCATGCTTGATGGCCCCGTTCCTTTTCAGGGCTCACACTGTGGAAGGGAAGAGTGGAGTTCCTTTTTCTACCTCACAGGCTGTGCCACATGTCTGTGTCCAGAAGTAAATGCAAACACTTTCATTCATTTCATTTCATTTTTCATTTTCTTTCTTTCTCTCTTCCTTTCTTTCTATTTTACTTCCTTTCAAAAGACAGTCAGGTAGCCCAAACTAACATCAAATTTGCGATACAGGAAAGGGCAACCTTGAATTCCTGACCCTCCTGCTTCTCCCTCCCCAGTGTTGGGATTATAGGCATGAACCACCACACCAGGCTCAGGAGATGGTTTTTACTTTTAAAAAATTTCTTTTATGTATGTGAGTGTTTTGACTATATGTGCACCATATCTGTACCTTGTGCCTGCAGAGGCCAGTACAGGACATAGGGTCCCCAGGAACTACAGTGACAGGTGGTCATGAACTGCCACGCAGGTGCTGAGACTGAATCTGAGAACAGCCAGTGCTTTTAGCTACTGAGCCATCTCTCCAGCCCCAGATGGTTCTTTTTTTGTTTTTGTTTTTCTGTTTTGTTTTGTTTTTTGAGACGGGGTTTCTCTGTGGCTTTGGAGGCTGTCCTTGTACTTGCTCTGTAGACCAGGCTGGGCTTGAACTCACAGAGATCCACCCGCCTCTGCCTCCTGAGCGCTGGGATTAAAGGTGTGCGCCACCACCACCTGGCTCAGATGGTTTCTTTTTCAAATATTTATTTTTGTGTGTATTGGTGCTTTGCCTGAATGTATATCTCTGTACCACATGTATACAGTGTCCTTGGAGGCCAGAAGAGAACATTGGGCTCCCTGGATCTGATGTTACAGATGGTTGTGAGCAGCCAACTGGGTTCTAGGAATTGAACTTGGGTTCTCTAGCAGAGCAGCCAGTGCTCTTAATCCCTGAGCCATCCCTACAGCCCCACTAAACGTTTTCATTAAACAGCAGAAAGATGGTTTCTGGTAGGATGAAGGATATTTTTTGTTGTTGTGTTTTGTTTGGAGCTGGGCATGATAGTACATTCCTGTTATCCCAATACATGGGAGGTGGGAAGCGAGAGGAAGGTCTTCTTTAGCCACATAGATAGTTTGAGGCCAGCCTAGACTACATGAGGCTTGTCTCAAAAACGAAAATAAAAGTCTGGGGGGAGCCTGGGATGCACCCCTTTAGTAGGACATTTACCTAGCATTTGTGAGGCCCAAGTTCTATCTCCAGCAAAAACACATATTAGACATAAGACCATGAGTTCAGCTGGGTGGTGATATCTGACACCTTTAATCCCAACACTCAAGAGGCAAAGGCAGATGAATCACTTTGACTTTGAGGCTAACCTGGTGTACAGAGTTCCAGGACAGCCAAGAGAAAAATCTGTCTTGAAAAACCAAAACAACAACAACAAACCCGAATTTTACCCCTGTGACCCATAAGATGGAAGGAGATGTTGTCTTCTAAATTTCATACAAGTGCTGTGGCATGCATTCTTACCCATGTGCCCGTGAATATCATAAAAATTAAAACACAAAACCTGAGGGGCTGGTGAAATGGTTCTGCTAGGAAAGTGCTTGCCAAGATAGCATGATGACCCGAGTTCAGATCCTACCCTGACCTACAGCACCCACATTAAATTCAGAGGCATGTCTGTAACCCTGGCACCAGGGATTGTGGAAGACAACCTACATTTGACCCCTGCGACTCATACAGATATAAGTAGAGAATCAACTCCTGGAAGTTGTACTCTAATCTCCACATATATCACAACACATACACATGTCTGTCTGTCTGTCTGTCTCTGTCTGTCTCTGTCTCCTCTCTCTCTCTCTCTCTCTCTCTCTCTCTCTCACACACACACACACACACACACACACACACACACACACAATTAAAAATAAAATAAGGTGGAGAGACTGACCTGAGGTTAACCTCTGACCTTCACACATACTGGGCACACATGTATTCACACCCTCATGCACATGTGTACACAAACATGGACATATACATACACACACACACACACACACAGAGGAACCTGAAAAGAGAGGAGAGTTTAGAAAACTGCCCATGTATAGTCTATAGTGTATAGTCTATAGGTCACCAGGCTTGAGGCTGTTGCTCAAGCCTACCTTCCTGTGCACACACAAACTCAGAGTTAGTATCTTCCTGTCTGCTCCCAGACTGCATTTCCTTTGCATTCCTAGTGTAATACCTGGGGGACACGCTCCTACTGACAGGCCTACTATTTTGACTCTGTTCCCTTGGAAACAGCTGAGATTAGCTTTCATGTGTTGTGTTGGGTGGCTAGAACAAAGGGCAGCAGTAAGAAAGGACAGATAAGTGATACAGAACCCAGCTGGCTCTGGCACTACAGCAAGTCCATCAGCTACCAGGTCATACATAGCTCTGTGAAGACTGGTTCTTGAGAATGGAAGGTCCAAGTCAACACCATGGGGTCACCCAGTCCCCCTGGCTCAGTGCCCGGCCCCAAGGCAGCAGTGGGGATGACCAAGACCCAGAATATCCAATTGGGAAGCAGCCAGGCATTGAGCTGATGGGAGCCAACATGGATGCCAGAGTGCTTGAATCTGAGTGGCTGTCCACTGGAGGTCGGTCTGGGATCAAGGGGGTCTTCAGAGAGCTCACAACTGCCTGTGAACTTGAAGCTGTATGACAAGAAACCTTTTTCTCTCTCAATGCAAGAGTTTCATACTTGTTATGGGTGATAGCTAAGGAAATACGCCCAGCCCTAATATGTCCTCAACCCTTTGCAGGAATTGATCACAAGACGACCACCATCCTGCTAGATGGCCGAAGAGTGAAGCTGCAGCTTTGGTGAGTTGGGGCTATGCTAGTCAGGATGTTCTGGCCCTGGAACCATGCCCTTTCGTCTAGCTTGAGCTGGTGGCCTTCCTTAAAGGGTGTTGACCCAGTTGTCTTGAGTCAATTGAAGCCCGCTACCCCATTATTTAAGGGGATTGCACCTAGGGCTAAGCTGGGTCCAAGAAAGAGCCCTTGCTGGTAGAAGACACCTCATTGTCACCTACTTCCTGTTTGACTCCACCTGGTGCTGTCAGAGATGGAAGTAAAGTGACCAGGACAGCCCAGTTCCCCCATCCACATTTCTGTGGATACAGAACAGAGCTCAGGGTGTCCTGGTTCCAAGGGCAGGGGCCCTGTTAACCACCTGGGCTACAGCTCCCTCTACTCTGTCTTCCCCTAGAGGTACCACACTAGTCTTGAGTTCTGCTAAACAGCCCCTGTCCTCATCATTCTCCAGGACCTAAGCCTAGGAATTTAGGGCTCATTCTGCCTCCTGAGCCCCCTTGGCCTGTGGGGAGATACATGTAAGGTTGCACCTCTGGCCCTCCTGGCTCTGCCTAAAGATGCTAAGTCTATAGCAGTGTGCATGACCTAACTTCACAATGGAATTGTTCTCTCCTGAGTCTCCAGCTCCTACTGACTTTTTCAAGAAGCCAAGCCCATTTTACTGCACTCCTCCAGAGGCCTCAGGGATGCTCACCATGCTCAAAACCAACCACAGCTGTTGGAGAGATGGCCCAGTGGTTAAGAGCACTGGCTACTCTTACAGAGGACCTTGGTTTGATTTCCAGAGCCTACATGGTGGCTCATGACAATCCATAGCTCAAGTTTCAGAGAATCTGACACCTTCTTCTGGCTTTCATGGGCACTGCACACATATGGCATCCAGACATAATTGCAGGCAAAGCACCCAAATACATAAAATAAAAATAAATAAAATCTTGAACAAAAACAAAATAAAAACCAACCCCAGTCCCTGTACAACCCAAGGCCTCTCTTGGGTGGTGTTAATCGCTGTGTCCACACTGAGCCCTCTGCAGAGTCACACTTCACTCCAGTTTCCTGACGTCCAAGGCCAGGCCTCCTGCATATTTCTCCTCCCATGCCTGAAGAGGGGCTGTGGTTGTGTTACAGGGCTCTCACTATGGGCCTATCACACAAGGCCAGCAGATACATCTCAACAGTACTCTCTTCTTGCCACAGACTTTCTAGTGGCTTCCATGTAGGTTCTGTTGAGGCTAGCCCTTAAATCTTCAATTACTTTACTTCAGAACAGTGAGATAGTCCTTCTCATGTCTTTGACAAAAGCCAATGCCTCCAGCTCATGCCCTTTCGAGCCCCAGCACTCCTCTCTGGTGTTGGGATAGTCACTAGCTACAGATGATGTACGGCAAAAACACACCTGTCCCATGGGCACTGTGAAGACACACCTGTGTACATTCCCAAGAATAATGCTGAAGTGGTTATGTGCAGACGTGTACCCACATCGTTTTAAAACAGACTGAAGAACCAGTGCACCCTCTCTGGAGAGCTACCACAGTGAGTGCACAATATCGGAACCCACCCACCCTGGGAACATCTTTCCTTTTCCCTAGTAGTTCTCGGCATGCTGACCTAGCCTGAGCACACACTCCTGCTGGGTGTCATCATCTGCAAAGCAGAAGTCCTATCAGTTCCTTATGTTGACCAACTCAGGGATGTATCTGGAGGATCTGCTTATGGAGCAACTGGATCTTGCCTAATCATCAAAAAAAAAAAAATTCATTCTGTGCCAGAGATGCAACCCAGTACCTAGCTTGCATGAGGGAAATATACTGCCACCAAGTTATGTCCCCAACATTTAAAATTATATTAGGTTTACTTAAATGTCTGAAAATAATGTTAAAACTCACTGTTAGGTTTCTAGTCTGACTTTCATTTTGTTTTGCTAAGATAGGGTCTCACTCTGTAGCCCTGGGTGGTGGAAACTTGCTATTTAGACTCTGCTGGTATTGAACTCAGAGAGATCTGCCTGTCTGTCTCCAGAGTGCAGGGATTAAAGGCATGTGGCCCCATGCCTTGTTCTAGTTTGACTTTTAAAGTACTTATTAGGGACTGGAGAGATGTCAGTATTAAGAGCACTTGCTGCTCTTCCAGAGGACCTGGGTTTGGTCCCTAGCACTACCTGTGGCTCAAGGTTACCAAGTGACTCCAGATCCAGAGAATTTGACACCCTCTTCTGGCCTCTGCAGCATTCACCCAGTGCGCAGAACAGACATAGCTACACAGCTTGAAGCACATGCCGTCATGTTGGAACTGGCAGCAGGGAGCAAGAGGATCACTTAAGTTTGAGTCAAGGCTTGGTTAGTAAAGAAACCCTGTCTCAGAACAACCAGTCAGGTGTGGTGGTGGGTACTTTCGACCTCAGTGCTCAGGAGGCTGAGGCTACAGAGTAATACTCTTCCTTGAAAAACAAATCAGGGGCCTTCAAGATCCATCACCGGGGCTGGGTGTTGGTGGCGCACGCCTTTAATCCCAGCACTTGGGAGGCAGAGGCAGGTGGATCTCTGTGAGTTTGAGGCCAGCCTGGTCTACAAGGGAGTTCCAGGACAGCCTCCAAAACAATACAGAGAAACTCTGTCTTGAAAAGCCAAAAAAAAAAAGAAAAAAAAAGAAAAAAAAAAGAAAGGAAATATCGCTCAGTGGGTAATGGTGCTTTCCACCCCGTCTGATAGCCTGAGTTTGATCCTCAGTACCTTCACGGTGGAAGGGTAGGCTCCCACAAATTGTCCTCTGACTTTCCCACATGTATCACGGCCTGTGCATGTGCGCACTCACACACACACACACACACACACACACAGAGAGAGAGAGAGAGAGAGAGAGAGAGACAACAATGAAAAAGAGAGTGAGCCCAAAACGTATGTTGCTGCTAAGATGGCTCTGCGGCTGTCTTGGATTGGCAGGTAATGACCACCACACAAAGACTGTAAAAGGTATTTGCTGTGGTTCCAAAGTTTGAGAAGGTGGTTATCAAGAAGAAACACCAGTCTCCTCTTAACAGTCTCCAACATCTTTTCCAGGGACACCTCAGGACAGGGGAGATTTTGTACCATATTCCGCTCATACTCTAGAGGCGCACAGGTAAACAGCATTCCCAGCCTGGAAATCAAATTGATTTTGAAAAATAACATTTACAAATTCTTACTTAGGTATCTCCTTTATGGCTAAGTTGGAAGATAAGGCAATTAAGGTCATTTATAAACTGATGCAGGTCATGTGCTATAATCTGGTGGCTTATGTTTTCTCCAGCATTACAGATGCCATGTGTGAGCATGAATTCTCTTGAGTGCCTCAATGTGTGTACGTGTATGTGCATATCTGTATTTGAGGTTCTTATCTATGTGTAAGCATACCCCCACGTCTGCTATGTGTGGGGGAGGGACTTGCTCTGTGTTAGGTGGCAATGTCCCCACATCCTATGCCCCAGACAAGCTTATGGACATCAGTTCCAGACTCTAGCTCAATCATCTATCAGTAAGTGCATGAAATATCATTGGAAGTAATAATATAACTCCTATAAGGAATATATAAATCAAAATTATATGCTTTTTCTGAAGTATGTAAGATGATTAGTTAGGGACCAGGAATAGTGGTATATAACTTTAACCCCAGCACTTGGGAGACACAGGCGGGTGGATCTCAGTGAGTTCTGGGCCAGCCTCATCTATATAATGAGACATTGTCTTGATTTTTAAAAGTAGTTTGTCTCTGCAAGTCTCTGGACCAAGCCTGCCTCTTGTGTTCCTGTGTGCTGACCTTTGTGACTTTTCTCCTAGGGTGTGATCCTGGTCTATGACATCGCCAACCGCTGGTCCTTCGATGGCATCAATCGATGGATTAAGGAGATTGATGAGGTATGACATGTGACATTGGCCAGGGAGAGGTTCGACAACAGGGAGAATGCTTCACCTCACATCTGGACCCAGTGGTGTGACCAAAGGACCTTGAGGATCAGGACACTGGGCTCTGCTGTGCCTCTGCTCAGGCGTGCATGCTCTGCTTGCCCCACCCCCGGTTGGTGGGCTGGATGGGTGGGTGGGTAGTGATGAGGCTGATGCTTGTCCAACTGCTGGATAAGACCTACAAGCTTGCTGAGGGGGATCTTGTGGCTTTTCTAATAAAGGGCCACAGGTTGAGTGTTTTAAAATGACATTAATTTTCTCCAAGTTCTGAAAGACAAAAATTGTAGGGCCATGTTCTTCCAAAAGCTCCAGGACAAGACTCTTACTGCCTGTTCCAGCTTCTGGTGGCCACAGCTATCCTTGGCTGTCACTTTGCTTTCATTGTCACATGGCATTTCCCTGTGCCCCCTCTGTGTCCTCTCCTCCCCTTATGAGAATACCAGTCATTAGAATAGCACCCCTCCCCTGCAATTCAATGAGACTGCATCTTATTACATACACAAAGACCATATTTACAAATAAGGTACCATTCTGAGGTTCTGGGTGGACATGAATTTTAGGCTACTCAACCCATTTTCCTTGCCTTTCTCGTGCTCTAGCATGCCCCTGGGGTTCCTAAAATCTTGGTGGGAAACCGACTGCACCTGGCATTCAAGCGGCAGGTGCCCACCGAGCAGGCCCAGGCCTACGCTGAGCGCCTGGGTGTGACCTTCTTTGAGGTTAGCCCTCTGTGCAACTTCAACATTACAGAATCCTTCACGGAGCTGGCCAGGATCGTGCTGCTGCGGCATGGGATGGACCGTCTCTGGAGGCCGAGCAAGGGTATGCTAGGAGGGCCAGTCCAAGTCTCCCACAGCCCCATCAGATATGAGGTGGTTCTATAGCCCCCTGCACAATTGTTTGCCTCCTAGGACTTGTCTCAAGGCTTCTGTGGCCATACTCAAAAATCAAATTCATTTGGGGGCTTTGAGATGGCTGAGTGGGTAAAGGTGCTAGCTGCCTAACAACCTGAGTTTGATCCCTGGAGCCCTCTGCCCTCCGTGTGTAGCTTGTGTCACGCACAAACATGTGCTCACACACAACCACACACATAATAAATAAATGTTCATTTTGTAAGCAAATGTATTTGAAAGAAGTAATTACTGCGGCTTTGGAAGCTCTTAAAAAGACTTTTTTTGTGGTCTGTACGTGGGCAGAGGTGGAGGCAGAAGAGGGTTTGCTACATTCACCAGTGGGACAGCCTCCGGTTGAGGTTCCCAGTTCCTGGAGGGAGGCAACCAGATGCAGGGCTTCCCCTTGCAAAAATCCCTAATCACGGAGGACATAAAGTAAGGGATTCTCTTTTCTTTTTCCAAGTACTGAGTTTGCAAGACCTCTGCTGCCGCGCTGTGGTGTCCTGCACACCTGTGCACCTGGTAGACAAGCTCCCTCTCCCTGTAACCTTAAGAAGCCACCTTAAGTCGTTCTCCATGGCCAATGGCCTGAACACCAGGATGATGCATGGCCGCTCCTACTCCCTAACCGCCAGCTCCAGCCACAAGAGAAGCAGCTTCTGCAAGGCCAGGAACAGCCGCTCCCCCCAGAGCCCGCCCAGAAACTGTACCAGGAATAGCTGCAAAATTTCTTAGAGACTGGAGTTGGTGGCACAGGCCTGTCATACCAGCTACTTACAAGGCTAAGGCAGAGGGATCACAAGCTCAAGGCCCACCCAAGCTACAGAATGAGTTCAAGACCAGCCTGGGCAACTAGTGAGACCCTGCCTCAAAATTACAAAGTAAAAAGACTCTCTCCCAGAGTCTGGAGGACACAGACCATTCTACACTCAAGAAGCATACTCTCCACCTCTTACAGTAACGATGATGCTTCATTTGGAATGCCTATGCCACTGATGTGGTATGAATGCTCAGTGCGCTGTGACTGGAACTCCTGTGTGGATGTGCATGCAGCTCTTGTTCTAGACGTGTGTGTGCAAAGGGAAAAATCAGTATTCTGCTCTACTCTTGATAATATGAAATCATGGATGTTACTTTTATCATGATTGCTGTGCAACTTTTTCTGTAACTGCTTTTATATGGCTGATAAAATGTGTGTAGTGAATACATATTCAAGGAAATTTCAGAAACAATAACCAGATAGGCTAGCATCACTGATATTACAAGAGGGGCCTTTTGTAAACCTCCTTTAATGTCAGGGGTCCAATTTATAAAAAATGCTGCAGTTTCACACAGAGATTGTGTACAACAGATCTGTCCCATTTGGGTAGGACATGGGTTTGATAAAGTTTTTGCTATGTCATTTACTACATTTTGGGATTAATAAGTAATCTATATTCATATTTTTCTGTAAACATTTTTGTACAAAGTGTCCTATAAGTTATGAAGCTATGGGAAGAAAATGCCAAAGATCTCCAATTATGTTGAACACTGTTTCAGCCAGCACTGTTTCAACAGATTAGCAAGGAGAAAGGTATTTCAGTAAAGAATGAAGTAAAAACAGTATTATTTAAGGAAATATTTCTCAATAAACTGGATATTTGTCCCTCTCTTGAGAGTCATGATATCTCTTCCTATATCTAGGTAAGTAACAGCCCTTTTCTCCTCTTGTCTCCTTGCTTGGTGTAGCCATCAAGGGATAGTTTGGTTCATGATGCTCACCACAGAGATTAGTCTTTGTCCTTTGTAACCTTTGGTAAAGATTTCTTTCCCAGATAAGAAATGCAAAGAAAGAAAATAGTTCTGGGTGTGGTGGCTAATGTCTGTTACCCCAGTTCTTGGGAGGTTGAAGCACTATTGCTGTGATATTTAGATCAACCTGGAACTACATAGTGAGTTCCTAGGTTGGAAAGTAAGATCTTGTCTCAACAAAATAAAGTGAAAGCACTAAAAGACAACACTTGTGTGTCTCCTGGCAAAGGTTTATTGTCCCTTATTGGGAGTACAGAGCTGTGGCCAGGCATTTCTCTAGAGATGAAACCCTTGTCACTCTCTTTGCCAAAAAACCTACTGGCTTTACAAAGGCTCATATATAGGTCTCTTTTCTGGTCCTACTGCTTAGGAAGCAGCACATAATGAGGGGTTAAATGACAGGAAAAGGGAAATAAGATAAAGCTCAGTGTTCTACATTTTTTGTTAATGATTTACAGATTTAACAATTTACAGGACTCTAGATACATAATAACAATGTCCTTAGAGACAATGGAGCATAGCTGCCTGGCTTGAAGGCTTGAAGATGGGGGCGAGGGTCCAGCTGTGTAGAGATGAGGTGAACAGAAGATATCCGTAGGGAAGCTGGTGAGAGTGTACAGCCACTCCTTGACGGTGGCCAACCTGTGAGAACACCCCGCAAGAGCCTTCAGAGCCTCCTTTTTGGTATGCCACTGTTGAAGACAACATCTAGGGCATGGGCAGCCATGACCTAGCAGCTCTTTTTCAGGTTTGTGACCATGGAGATGAAAGTACAGGTCAGTTAAACAAAGTTCCTTAAATGTCTTTCTCTGCCCTCTTCATTGCTGCTGAGATGGATGGTGAGCTGTGCCGGATAGATTCCTGGATAAGCCAGGCTGTAAGGATTGAGGCATTACGCTGGCCCGACCCTGTCACTTGGCAGAATGCACTCAGGCAGTGCCCTAGTCAGCCCAGGTACAAAGGACCCCTTTAAAAGACAGACCTCCACACACGTAAGCCCTCTTCCCAGCGCTATTTCTGCGCTCTCTTTCCTGCTGTTCCCCTGGGGCAGACAGGACCCTTCCTGTCTCCCTCTTCTGTTCTGCCCTCTCTCTGTCTCTGTGTCTCTTTACCTCTTCCCCCCCCCCTTCCCTTTCTAATAAAACTTATCACTAAGCTCGGTCTGCTTGCTTTGTCCCTCCATCTTGGTCATCCTCTCCTGCCATGGAATCCGCCAAAGTCCCCCTCAAACTTTATCACAACACAGGCTACACAGGTTCTTCTGCCTCAGCTTCCTGAATATGTCAAAAGCATAAACCACCACGTCCAGACCTGTTTCCTGTAAGCTCCTGTGACCTGGAGCCTTTTGGAAGCCTGATATTTATGGAACACACAGGCTGCCCAGAGGTCTTGGCCTTCCACAGGAAGTCAGCGGTACCGGGAGGAGGCAGGAGGCGTTCCTCCCCAGGACCTCTGAGAGGGAACACAGTCCTCCATGTACTTTGATTTTGGACCTCTGCCTTTCTAGGACTGTTGTAGAATAGATACCCACATTTTTGGTACCAGGTCTGTGACAGTTTATTACAGCAACATAATAAAGTAGAACCAGTAAGTGCTACAGCAAATCAAATTATGTTTCTGTAGAATGAACGTTATCAAACAGAACATAGTAAGTAAAAGTATTAATGCTTTGGTGGTGAATACACAGAAAGTATACCTGAAATACATGTTGAATCCCAGTGAACCTTTGTCATTTTCCCCTGTGACACACTCACTGGAAAGTCTGAACATGGGTACCACACTAATCCCAGGTGTGTGAGCTTCCCTTCAAACAATGAGATTCAAAATATATCACACACGATTATGTCTTCAGTTGCCCTGTGAAAATGACTGCCATGCAGAAAATTTCCTACCCAGAAAGCTTTGTGGTTTCTTACCTGACATTATTTAGGCAACTGGGCTAGAGAGATTGCTCAGTAGTTAAGAGTACCTGCTACTCTTCCACAGGACCTGAATTTGGTTCCCAGACATCTGGGAACTGAATACCTGTAACTCCAGCTCTAGGGGAGCCAACCTCCTCTGGCCTCTGAGGGTACCCTCACCCATAAGGCATACACTCGCGTAGACACACGCACATAAAATAAATCTTTAAAATTTAAGTAGACAAAATACGTGCATTATAGGAGCCACAATGCATGTTTCTGCAAACATTTGGAGATACCAGACTTACTTTGCTGAGGGGGGGGAAGCTTTATCAAAGTAAATGTGGTTTCATAAGCAAAATCAAAGCTGCTTGGAGTGAGGTAACTGGAATCAGGTTGCGAGGTGGCAAGTGGGCTCACAAGCTCTCCTGTGAGACGAACTTCCTTCCCAAGGTGTTGGGTGGGGCAGACAGGGGATGAGAATATCTTGTTGGGTCACTTGAAGAACTGTCACAAAAAAAAAATAACTCATGTCGGGGTGGTTTACAAATAATAGAAGTATGATTTTCCCACTTCCGCCAGACTTCAAGGACTCCCACATCGATGGCTCTTTGCTTCCAAGATGCTGCGTGTCTTCTTCCCTTGGGAGGAAGCATGGTCGAGTTTGGGGAGGGGCCGTGAGGAGAGAAGAGC